CTCGATGCCTTGGGTAGCAAAGTCCACTTCCATAGGGTTTCCAGCCATCCCTTCATCATTTTCTCCTTGTACATTTTCCTCGAGAACCTTTGGACTTGCAACCCCCCTTTCTAGGGCTCTGGGAGGAGTATTAGACACCGCATCGCCCTCATCATCACTTTTTCACTACGCACAGCCCCAGCACGAGCTTTAAAATGGTAAGGCATATCCTTGTCGGCGTAGTAATCACTCGTTGATGAGCTTCTACTACCCACATCTTCATCCCCTTCTCCCTGTCTCTGTGAACGGGGAGTATGCACATCCTCACCACCCTTTGAAGAATGTATTTGTGAATGTAGAGAATACACATTCTCAAAAGGTTCTTCATCCACCGGAAATCCTGCTTTCCTCATCATCTGCTTCACAGAATCTATGATCCTCAATTCAGAGGCCTTAATCGCCTCCATCAACCTCCTTTCAGAACCTTTTTCTTCACCTTTTTTTCCCTTTTTTATTTGTTTTTTTCTTCCATGTTGTTGTTCTCCTTCTTCTTCTTCTTCTACTTCTTCTTCATCATCTTCTTCTTCTTTTTCTTCTCGATTCTTTTTCTTCTCCTTCTCTTCTGCCTTCTTATCGGCAGCAGCTCCCCTTGCATCGATATCAAGAGCACGAATATGCTCAAAACAAATGCTTTTTGGATCGACCTTCAGTTGATTCATCCAACTGCGCACATCCGTATTGGTAATAGACTCCTCATCGATGTTTGCAAGAAGTGATTCATCTTCCTCGCTTTCTACTATAAGAATACTTCGAATACCCTGAAAACAAATCACAACAGTTGAATACAATATGACAAGTGAGACCAGTGTGACCAATGGTGACCAGTGAGACCGAATACAAAACATAAACGGTGTCATCTGTGGGACCATTGTGACCAGTGGGACCAACGTGACCAACGTGACCACATATAAAACATAAACAATGTGACCAACGTGACCAGTGGGACCAACGTGACCAGTGTGACCAACGTGACCAGTGGGACCAACGTGACCAGTGTGACCAAATACAAAATATAAACGATGTGACCAGTGGGACCATTGTGACGTACCTTTGCTTCGTTGCCAATCTGTTTCATCACCGTCCCGAAAGTCCATTTGGGGTTAGAGATGTGCTTTTTGCACATCCTGGGACAGCTTGGATCGGCATCTTCAACAGTAGTGCACCAACCGTTCAAGCAAAGAGTTTCGATGCATTCGAATGGAAGCATCATGAGAGGGACAACAAATCCAGACAACTACCATCTCTCCTTCGGTGTAGGATTTTGTAGAATCTTCCGCAACTGTTCCACCATTTTCTCGAATGTGTACCTTCCCCACGGAAATTCTTCGCATAACTCAAGTTCATCGACCATATCAACCAGATCATGGTTGATAGAGTCATCGCTTCTGTTTCCGTGGTCGAGTACTCTGGATAGCAACATCAGTGTCGCCAATCTCTTTCTATCAATCCGACTGTGTTTACTCTTTTGCAACTTTTCCAGAACTGCTTTCCTGGTGACCTTCCCAGGTCCGAAGGTCTTTATTCGAAAATCGTTTTTTCTGCGCCCTTCCCAATCTTCCGGATACTGGTTGCACTTCAATCCTGATATAATGGCGTGCTCAGTTATAGAGTATCTGATAGGAACGCCATTTAAAACAAACCATAACTGCTCTTATTCCTCCTCTAACTTCAGCGTTCGGTGTAGGAGGACTGACACATGAACATCTTCATGTTCTCGTCACATTTCAAATGGAATATGTGACGAAACTGTGAATCATCGTTGAAGTACCTCCACTCCTCGGTAGTTAATACCTCTTTCAGACTTTTAATCGTCTGAATCAAATAGCATTTGCTTTCAATCTTCAGTGCAAACTGAATATCTGAGAAATCATATATAAACGGAACCTGCAAAGAAGAAATCAACACTCAATCAGTCAGTGTGATCATTGTGACCACTGTGACCAGCTAAACCCTAACTTCCGTTTTAGTGAATCTAACAACCATTTTTCACCATAAATCACACGATTAACTTAAAAATCATAAACACAAACCCAAAAAACACAGATTTCTTGCATCGCCTCAAACTCAAAGTCATTTACTACCAAACTTACCTTCAGTTCTTGGTTTTTTCTTCCGCCGCGTCCCGATTTGCGAGCGGGAGTTGAAGTCTTCTTTTGATTTCTGTTCGATTTTGAAGCCATTGTTCTGATTTGTGAGAATCGACGAGAAACGAAAGGATTTCGCCGGATTTCTGAAAAACCAGTTTTTTTTAACAAGAGAGAGAGAATCAGTTTTGAAATTTGTCTCGAAACCGACTAAGTTAGGGGTATCGACTCGGGAAGATTAACCGTCTTTCCTTCATGTTGTGCCACGTGTAGTTTTTATTAAGGTCAATTATGTCTTTTGCTCATTTAATTTTTTTTTTTGAAAAACTAGGGTTTTGGAGGGTAGTCGGTGAAGTCTATATAGCAAAGTAAGGATATTTATGCTCTATTGCCGCCTGACCCAAAGGCGGCAAAGGAAGAAAACGGGCCCCACAATTAGCTTGTGGACATTTTGGATTTTCGTCTATTTCGATTTTTTTATTTCAATCAATTTAGTTTTATAAAGTTATATGAAAAATCGGATACAGTTTAAAATAATTATTATGGGGGTAATATTAATTTGTTTTATGAATCTAAATATTTATATATAATATTCAAAAAATTCCAAATAAATATGAATATTCAATTCGAATCAAATAATAAGTGAAACCAATAATACATAATATTTTTATAATTGAAAAATCGAATTTAAACAAAATCTAAAACATAACTCAAAAATTATTATTTTAAAAAAATATATTTTTATCGTTAAAAGCCTAATTCGAATCCAAAATCAAACTAAACGGAAACCCAAACAAATATAATATAAAACACTAAAATTTACTATACACAAAATTTATTACCCAGCTCCCAGCTTGGGTTTTGGGCTTATGGTATTTGGGCTTTTAGATTAGGCCTGTTGGACGTAGACCCATGAAGCTCGTGGGAACAAGCCAACATAAGGGTAAAACTGTAATTGTGCGATTCCCCGATCTCGCTGGGTATATATACCAACGCCTGCAAAAGCTAGGGTATAAATGCTCCGAAAATTTTCTCCGCCCAAAGGAACAAATCCTTCGGGATCCACCAGAGTTCCTATCCACAGCTCCGGCGGTTGCTCATCGGTCTCTTCTTCTACGTCGTCGACGATCGGTAATCGCTTCTTTCTTCTCCTGAATCTCCAATTTCGGGTTTTGAATCTGTTCTTCTGTCGATTTCGTCCCGATATGAAATCTTCCGTTTATGATGGTTTGTTTGTTGCCAAAGTTTTGGAATCGGCACTGGTTTTTTGGCGCGGATTTGGATACTTAGATCGTTTGGGGAGTAGAAATGGCGACGTTCGAGCTGTACAGGAGATCGACGATCGGGATGTGCTTGACGGAGACCTTGGATGAAATGGTTCAGAGTGGCGTTCTGAGTCCAGAGCTTGCGATTCAAGTTCTTGTCCAATTCGACAAGGTTGGATTTTACTGTTCGCTTAGTGATGCTTGACATCTGGGTTTGGTGGTTTCTGTGCTTTCTCTGATTTCTATGTTGTTGTAGTCCATGACTGAAGCTCTGGAGAGCCAGGTGAAGACCAAGGTCTCAATCAAGGTGATCTTTCAGTTTTGTACTGCCTTTTGGTTACTATTTTATTTTATGGGCGATGGTTCTGCGAAGTGCTGACTCCTTCTTAATCACGGGAAATGGGTAGAAGAACATGGTCAGTTTGTATGTTCGTTTCGTTGGAGGAAAGATGATTGATAGTTTGTAATTGTAGCGGTTGGTCGTTCATTTGACTTAGTGAGTTGGAGGAAGAACCATGCTCCGATGTCTTGCCCGAATCGAAAAATATCATTCGGGTTTGGTCGTGTACTTTGCGATCTGAACCTGCTGAAGATCTTGTGTTTCTTAATTATTAGTTGTCCTAGATTACATTTAAGAAATCTGTAATGTTGGTATTTCTTTCGAGTCTCTTGTTTGGTGTAAATTGCTACATCATTGTTATTGTTATGTATTGTACTGGTTTTTCTCTCTCCATATGACATATCTTTGGCAGGTTGACTCAGTTACATTCCATTTATTTTCGATTTCATGCAATTGAAAAAGTTCATTTGTGATTGAACTGCTATTTGGTTTTATAATTAACAATCGTCTTGCTTGTTTTGCCCTTCAAAATCTCGAATTTTGTTAGCAAATAGAAGCTAAATGTAGCGGCAATACTTGATTTTTGTCTCTGAAAAACTTCGATGACATTGTGTTCTCATCTGAATCACAAGATGTTGAAACTCAGCTGCTTACTTTCGTTGTCTATTCCGCATTCTTCTTCAGGGGCATCTTCACACTTACAGATTCTGCGACAACGTCTGGACCTTCATCTTACAGGACGCGATGTTCAAGAGCGAAGATCGTCAGGAGAACGTTAGCCGGGTGAAAATAGTTGCCTGCGACTCGAAGCTTCTGACTCAGTAAGATGTTTTCCTGCCTGTCTTATCTGTCGAAAATATTTGTTCTCGTTGAAGTAGATTTAAATCAATTTCGCTATGAAATTGGTCTTAACGCTTTGCCAATACGTCGTTGAGCTCCCTTTCTGGTGCACCCTGATAATGTTGTTTTCAGTAGCCATCAGATTCTAGCTTAATCTGTAAAAGAATGGTCTCGAAACCTTCTGTTTATGTTAGAAGGTTATGACTTTTGACTGTTTTCCATTCTCATGGGAGCCTGTAAGATTACCTTGCATTTGTGTGAAATCAACATTCTCTGAATCTGATGCGTAAAATGCCCCAATGCTCCTCAAATTTGATCTCTTGATTTGTGTAATGGTTTTTGATAATTCTATTTTAAACTAATTATGTCAAGATATTGTAATAACTTGCGTTATATGATCTAACATTTCCATATGTATCAATAAAACCAAATAATTGTATCTAATTATATTACTAGGAAATGAGACAAGATTCCGTATTCTTTGAACAAAATGTAAACTACTATATTTTCCTTGATAATTTAATAATGCAATTGTTGCTTCACACAAAAAAAATTTGTTTCAAGGAAAAAAAAAGGAAAATAGTCTTTTTATGTTGTATTACATAGAATACGTAGAAAGTTTCAACATATCACATTTTAAAGGAAAGAGATTCTTCAAACGTCAACCATGTTGAAGGATGTTTTACTTGTGTTACAAACAAATAAGGGTTGACTTATTTATTTGTTACAGAAAAGGAAATAATAACGATATATATATTGCACCGTATGATATATTATTTTTAGAAATTGAATTTATATTTTAAAAAAAGATAGCATAGTGAAAGTAATTAGAAGCCAAAATTTGAAGTTTAAATGGTTTACGGTATTTGGAGATTGCACTAATTCCGTTTTGTGGACGTCGATCAAGTCCATATTAAACGATAGCCTTTCCTCTTGCACCGATAAAAAATGGGTTAAATTTTTGGGAAAACTCATGGAAAATCCTTAATTTTATCAAAACTTTCAAATTAAATATTAACATTTTCAATTGGAATATAAAACCTGACTTCTAAATAAAAACCGAATTTTTAATAAATTTCGATTTAAAATTTTAGGTTATGAATGCTTTTTCTTTTGAGTTTTTTTTTATTTTTGATTTTTGGTTTTAATAGTTTTTACAATTTTTTTTTATAAAATTTGATTGGTAAAAATAATATTTTTTTTTCATTTTTTTAGATTTTAAAAGCGAAAATTACCAAAAAATGATTTTTTAGTATTAAAATAAAAATGATATTTATTAATATTAGTAATAACAACAATAAAAATAATTTAACAGCGAAAATTCCATAATTTCAACGCAACTCTGTGATAGAAACATTAGAAATATCTAAATTGAATTAAGAGAAAATTCTAAAAAAATATGTAAACTTGTCACAAAATAAAAACTGAATTTTATTTTTTTACCAAATAAAAGTTCAATTTGATTCTTGACTTAAATAACTCAAATTTTCTAACAATTATCATTTTTAAATATATTAAAATTATCATTTTAAAATTTATTATTAATATGACATCGGTTTATATAAATGATAACAAGTTAAATATAATCATAATGTTAATTTATCAGGTAAAATATTGGTATACCAAATAATATTCGAATTTAAAAATAATAATACCTATAAATTTTGAATTTATTTTCGATTAAAAAATAAGTTAAGATTTTATTTAATAAAAACAAATTTTTATTTTTATTTTGTAAATAAAATTGACACCGTATTGTTTTGGTATTTTTCCTTGAATTAACTAAAAGTCTTGAAGTCTGGTCATACGGAAGGCTAACGAATACAATCCCTCACTCTGCATATTCCAATTCTCATGTCCACTACACAAATCGGATGTCTCCGTACGACGCCGTTGCACGCTGTCGCCACCGGCCTCAGTTCTCCGGTGAATTTCCCAGTCTTCTTCCGCATTTCGGCGGCCTTCCGACCGGCGAAGATGGGATCGTCTTTCCTCAGCGTGAGACGGTCTCGTTACCTTTCTCGTAAGTTACCCTTCCCTGGAGATTCCAAATTAGCCGGGAAAACCTCCGAGGAAATTTGTCTCCGTCCGGTGAGGCATGGTGTTTCAGTCCGTGCTTCGTTGGAGCAGTCTCATGTTCCCTCGAATCGCAACCTTATTTTCGCTTACTCCGCGGTCACTGTAGTCTTAGCCATAGCTAACCGTGTGCTGTATAAACTCGCTTTGGTTCCGATGAAACAGTACCCTTTCTTCTTGGCTCAGCTCAACACGTTTGGGTAATTTCGAGTCTTTTTTGTGATTTTGTTTGATTGGACGATGTTTATTATTGACAAAATGGGTTCAGTTTTGATGGAGACGGTGATTAGAGCTTGTAATTGATTGCTTTTGTTCGCAGGTACGTCTTGATTTACTTCACCGTTCTGTATGTGAGGTACCATCTAGGCATTGTGACACGCGAAATGATCGCTGTACCGAAATGGCGATTTGCAATCATTGGTTTTCTTGAAGCTCTGGGAGTAGCTACTGGGATGGCTTCTGCAGGTACCCATCTCTGTTGTTATGCAATCTAATGGAATGCAAAGTCAGTGGTAAATGTGCATTGATGTATGTTTTAGTCCGTTATTCAAATGCTAGAGTTTGATTTTTGTTAGCAACCTGAAAATTCTACACTCTTTGTAAGGTTATCTTGCTGAATGATTGGATTGTTTGTTATATCATGCAGCCGTGCTTCCTGGACCGGTTATACCGATATTGAATCAGGTGTCTTTGGTGTTATTGTTTTGCTCCCTTTTCTTTTCATGGTCCAGGATACTTACTATATATATATGTATATATATATATATATCATATTGATCTGTCAACCTATCTTTCCATGGTGTTTTTTCCCCCTTTCCCTGGCAGACATTTCTGGTGTGGCAACTGGTTTTTACGGTCTTTATACTACAAAGGAGGTATAGGTTTAACCAAATTGCTGGCTGCTTTCTTGTGGCTGTTGGTGTCGTGGTGGCTGTTTCAAGGTATAAACTCATTGGTCTGCTCTCCTGAAGGGTACTGAGTTTTATCTCGTTCTTGGTGTAAAAGAAATGTGACTATGTGATCACTGGTCGGTGGATAAAAAGTGGTGCGAGTTATTGTTATTGATGAGTATCATCATCCGCATTCTGTAGTCATGTGTATTGACCCGGCTTTTTCGTAGAATCGAAGGTTACACTACTGATCAGCTGGGTGAATTTCTATGCGTTCTAGTAGTCTTTAATATCCATATTTTAAGGAAAAAAGATTCTTACACAAACTTTTGGGGAGATTGCTGCCTAGGACAATATGCCTAACTGGCTGGTGATAATATGGGTTCGTGATGTCTTATTGGAATGTATTAAGCAATTATGATCATCACTGCTGTAGACTGACACTAGTTCATTTGCAGTGGATCTAGTGCAGATCAAATGCTATCAGGCATTGGGTTCTTCTGGCCCGCCATAATGGTAGCATCAGCTGCTTTTCAAGCAGGGGCATCTATCGTAAAGGTAAAAGCTCCATCTCATAAAACCGTCTCCTTTTTGGTTTTCTGCTTTCTTTCCTCTACAAGTTTCCAAATGTTTATCCATGAACAGGAATACGTTTTCTTTGATGCTGTAAAACGTCTTGAGGTATGTGGCTCATGGCCGCCTTCATCTTCTTCCATGATGGGTATCCTCTGCATCGAAGTGTGAGAAATTTTTCTGCTGAAGTTTTGTATGTAACCCAATGCAGGGAAAGTCTCTAGATATATTTGTGGTCAACTCTTTTGGATCTGGATTTCAGGTATCTCTTCTATGGAATGGCTTGTAAAGAGTCTATTCCGAGCCTTTTATGCCCACTACTCTCACCCTTCCATGGAATATCAGATGCATATTAGTTATAAACATATAACTGTAGATGAGATATGAGGAGAACAATTTCATGAAAACGCTTGATATCTATCTACCGTGTTCTAATATTCTCTACCTGTCTTTGCAAGCTATGCGATTTCATCATTGAATTTTTGTGAACTATTTATCTTGTGCAGGCCCTTTTCGTGCTTCTCTTGTTGCCTTTTCTGTCAAACTTGAGAGGCATTCCATTCATGAGCCTTCCATCTTACCTAAAAGCTGGTGTGGGTTGCTTCCTCAACACCGGAGCAAATATTTCCGGTGAGAAGAAATTTTCTTTGAACTTAATGCTCGTTTTGTTTTATTCACTTCATCTCGTCTGTTATGATCGTTGCATGATTTCAGGATGCGAGGGTGCTCCTCTTCTCCCACTTCTCTATATAGCCATCAACCTCGCTTTCAACATCTCATTGCTCAATCTCGTGAGAATTTCGTCCGCCGTTGTTTCCTCCCTTGCCGTGATGCTCTCAGGTCCCTTCTTCTCTTCTTTGCAACTTATGACAATTTCTGTAACTACTTCGCATGAATACATGATAGCATCATCACAAGAGGTTCTTTTGGCATTTATTTATCCGAGTATTCGGGTACTCGTTGTTGGTCTTGGTCCTGATCTCACGGGTTTTACATTCCAAGCATATCAGTCTCGGTTCCACGAGACTCGAGTACCCGCGGTTCAAGGTCCGTACCGGCAGGCATCCAAACCCACGAAGAACTTCAATTTTTTTTTTTGTTGATCTGAGTTGACCATCAGGATTATAATGGTCATCTTGCAAAAAAGTAGACCTAGATTTAAACAAAATCTCCCTACAACACGGGGGTATAAATGTCATTTTGCATGTTGCATCTGCTGTATCCCGTCACGTGAAGACAAAACCCGAACCCAAACCCGTAGGTCTCGGTTGTTCGACTCGTTCCACCGGTGCTCAGCCTCTTTCGCTGCCGAGTACCCGCCCCTAATCTGGATGTGTGTTTGTCTGTCTTTTTTTTTTGGTGATAACAATTCGCAGTTCCATTGGCGGTGTATGTATTGTCGCACCCATTACCGTATCTCCCGGGAGGAACAAATTTGAGCTCTTACTTCATGCTTGGGAGCTTCATTCTTGTTCTGGGTCTTCTCCTCTACAACCTTCCCATCGTCAATTCAACCAAGCAAGACCCCAAGACCAACTGAAAGGTACGTACACACATACATATATATATATATATATATATATATCAATCGTTTTCTATTCGATCAAACATCAGTAAGAAATCTTCAGCAGAATCTTATTATCCATCAAAGAAGACATTCAAGTAGATAGGTGTTATGTTTACAAGTGTGATATTCTAATACAAGTGCACTTTTACTTCAGAGACAAGTTAATAACGGAGCTTGGGATATATGTTTTTTTTTTATTGAAATGTAAATTGTATTCTTTTAACTAAAGATCGTTCAAGACGATCAGATTCGTGGAGGAAGAGAGGACCGTCGTTCTGCTCTCCCCGACAATTTTCCACCGCCCGACCGAAATCCCAGGCTTTATTCACGATCTCTGGCGAGTTTCCTCGAAGGTTGGAATCCGGTTTACTGTTCATTACGTTTGATTAAAGTCGATTTCTCGAAGAATCAGGAATTATATACGTGGCAGTAATTTTCTGAGTTGGTTCGCTACGTCACGCGCCACGTCGGATCGGTCAACTCGTTTTTTTGACTAATTAATGCTATGGATGATTATGGAACTGTTTAACAAGTTCATGAATTAACATGTTCAATTTGGCAAGATCGGAATTAATAGGCACTTTTGCAAATTTAGTAATTAATATTACTCCAAATTACAAGTTTAGGAATTTTTAGGGTTTTTTTTTCTAAAACTATATATTTTATTTAATCTAATAGATAACTACACTAGTTTTGGTTATAACATTAATGCCTACTCAAAGCCTTTCCATAAACTTAATTATGATATGTTCCGTAATCGTTACATTCAAACCAAATAATAAACATCTAACGGAAAATTTCAGTTTCCATGTTTGTGTAATGAAGAAAACCAAAACCAATGGAAATATACAAGTATATAGGGTTGTCAAAATGGGTAAATCCATCCCATTTGGATGCAACTCATTTGGGTTATATGAATTAATGGATTGGATTAACCCAATCCATTACTAACATTAAAAAAAAACCAAATGATTTGGTTCAAAACCATTAACCTATTTGGGTTAATATAGAATCACATCTTGAATCAACTATGTAAATAATATGAATAACACAAACATAATGCATTGTATGTAAATAATATGAATAATACAAACATAATGCATTCAAATATAATGAAAAATAACGCAAACAAAAAATATTACATAAGCAATTAAATGAGACTGCAAATAATACAAATCGTATTATAACGAAATATTATTTAAGATTGCAAATAATGCATATAATACAAATAATACAGACATATCTATATAAGCAAATAAATAATATTATCTTATTTAAACTAATAAAATACTAAGAATATTCAAATCAATAAAAGTTTAAACATAATTAGCTAATAAAATACTAAGAAAAGTCAGAATCAATTGAAATCAAAGATAAATCAAAATGCATCACTCCAATAATAGATTTAAACCAAATATATAATTCATAAGTCAAATACCAAATCTATTTGCACAAATCAAATACACAATTAATTTCTTCTCAATCTAGTCTAAAATAATCGGACATCATTGCCAAATCATCATCATCGTTCTCTTCATTGTCATTGTTTTGGCTATCATGATCATCAATGATATCAACGTTATAAATTATAATCATTATCACCATCACCTTTTTCACCTATCAAAACATTGATCAAAATCTCAAAAACTAAACCTACTTCAGAAATTACAATCTCATATAACCAAATCGAAGAAACCCAGAAACCCTAAACACATAAAACAGGTAAAAAAGCAAAAAAAAAAACATAAAGTTCTCGAAACAAAGGCAAAATATGCACCGAACTACAGATTTCGGCGTGCAGAGGACGGTGAAGACTCAAACAGAAGAAGAAGATGAAGACCAAGTAGAAAAGGAGATAAAGTCCGAAACAGAGGTCGACTACGAAGACCGGCGATGAAATCGATGAAGAGTCAAAGTACGATGCTGAAACAAATTGAAATTGAAATTGAAATTGAAATTGAAAGAGAGCGCAATTTAGGGTTTACGCGTAAGGAACAATAGAGCAATTCAAAATAAAAATGAGATTTTAGGTTTAATAATTATTTGGACTTATTTTTATTTGGGTAAACCCATTTAATATATAACCCAAATGGATTCGAACCATTTAACCCATTAAAATAAATTAATCCAATTGGTTAACCCATCTGTATATATTATTGGGTTGGGTTGGGTAAAAACCAATTAACCTAACCCAATTGACATCAGTATATGTGTGCGTATATATGTGTTTTAAAATTTTTTTTCAATACCTACGTGCAAATTTTTCGTTGATGTGGTATTTTTTTTATTACGTAAAAGTGATATAATATTTTTTTTTTGGTAAAATGTGATTTGGTATTAATATAGATATGATTTAAAATATACAAAATCAGTCAAAAGACAGAACAATCGTTAGTAAACATCAGCAAACTAAACATGATTTCCCATGGTTAAGTGGTAAGTGACATCTCATGTTCTTCTTCAGCTTCCTTCCGTGCTTCAGTGTGTTGCATTAGCGCCGTCTAATGTTTTCTGTCAGAAAATACCAGTGTTCTAAAAGCTCACTACTCGTTCTTGCAGTCCGCACCTTTGCGGCCAGTAGAATTGATCGAATCGTGTTATCTAGCTTCCTGCGTAATGCTGATACAGTTTTCGTCTCATTCCGAAAGATCCGACTATTGTGTTCTGCCCATAGTTCATAGGCAGTCACCTGCAATACAAGTCGGGCCAAGACGCTTCTGCTTTTGCCATCATCCTGTCGTGCCCGAGTGAACCATTCCACAATATCACCGATATAGTTCCGTGGCAACCCCCAACAGCACGTTCCGAAATGTTGCCAGATGTCTCGGCTGTAGCTGCAGTCGAAGAAGAGGTGCTTGTGTGTGTCTTCTTCGCGATTACATAGAACACATCTCCCTTCCGCATGAATTCCCCATCTCCGTAATCTGTCTTTTGTTGGTAGACGCTGCATTAGAACCTGCCAAAGAATGAATGAATATCTTGGGACAGCCTCACGAAACCAAACAATGCGATACCAAGGCACCACCGGTTTGACATCACGTATCAGCTTCCATGTTGTCTTTGTCGAGAAACTGTGTTTATACTCGCCGCTCCCCTGCCTCCATAGTGCTATGTCCTCCCCTGAGTCTGGAGTAGGTGGATCGATTTTCGTCAGCTAGAACAGAAGGCTCTGGGTGCTTTCTTTTCTTGCCGCCAGAAGAGACCAGTTCCCACTCCTGACCGCATCTGCTACCTTTGCGTGCCTCTGGATCCGTAATAGCCTCGGGCCCATGTCCCCTATGTATTCAATGAGTGGCCCATGTGCAGTCCAGTTATCCAGCCAAAATTGTACCGTTTTTCCATCTCGAATCTGTACCTTAATAAAAGTCCGCACCAAATCCTTGATTGACAGCAGTTTTCGTAGGTTCCATGAAGATGATATCGTCGTCTCTGTATCCCAGTATCCCCGGTTCTTGAAAATATTCATTCTAATCCAAGCTACCCATAGAGATCCCGATTTCGTAAACAACAACCAGATAAGCCGCAGTCTAAACACCTTATTGCAGTCTGATAGTTTCCTCAGTCCAATACCTCCTTCTTCCCTTGGCAAGCAGACTGTCTCCCAAGCTATTTGTGATGTCACACGACATGATACAGTGTTCTTCCACAGAAATTTTGAGCAAAGACTGTCAATGGTTGATAGAACAAACTTCGGTAGCATGAACATCATAATCCATGAGTTAACTATGCCATATATCACCAAGGAGATGAGCTGGATTTTTCCTGCATACGATAGACAGTTGTTGCACCAGTTTTCCAGTTTAGCCCTTATCCTATCGAGCAACGCCTCATAATCAGTCTTGGTTAGCCAGGTGGAGCTTAGCGGAACTCCTAGATATCTGACTGGCAATGTCCCTAGTCTTAGGCCCAAGGAGGCAGCCACTGTGATCTTTTCCTGCTCAGCAATACCAGCTAAGTAAACATCAGTTTTTGCCGGATTCATGTGTAAGCCTAACATTTCTCCGAACCATTGCAAGGTGTGCTTGATTTCAGCTAGAGAGTTTCTGTCTGCACTTCAGAATATCATCACATCGTCAGTGAAAGAAAGGTGTGTGATGATCGGGTTTTTGCATCTTGGGTGCAGGTTGATCCGTTTCTGCTCGGCTCCTCTGTCTAACCACCGGGACAACACTTCCATAGCCAATATGAATAGGTACGGGGAGAGTGAAGGGTTTTCTGGGATCTCTAGAGCGAATCCTATTCCTAAGAGATCGATTCTAGGGTTTGCGCAGCGGATATAAAACAAAAATTTAATAAACCCTAGAACCATGCTTCTATGAATCGTAGAAACGTTAGAACGCTTAACTCAATCGATCCAGGGCCTGTATCAATTGAAGAATTCGTCTGATCACGAAAGGGAGGAAGAATACCCCGCCCTCTACACGTATCCACACCTCGGGATGGATTCCAACGGTTGGAACTTGTCTGCTAGGACTCGAATCTCTATTCAATATGTGCTTCGAGAAAACGAGACTCTTCGGTTTTCGAACTCTTTGGATCTCACCCAAAAGCTCTCTCAAACCTCTGAAAGTCGGCTCTCAAAAGTCTCTTTCGAATTAGGGTTTTAATCTCTTTCTTATAAAGTGATTTAACCCTAATTTCGGTTTAATTTTCGGAAAACCGGAACCTGGAACGGACGGTCCGGAATTGCACGTGGACCGTCCGTTCCAGTAAGGCAG